GCCGAGGGGTGTGGTGGAGTCCCCATCCCGGTAGGGATTGAAGACCCATGTGGATGAGGTGCTCAGGGACATGGGTTAGTGGTGGGCTTGGCTGTGCTGGGGGAACGGTTGGACTGAATGGTCTTAAAGGTCTTTTCCAACCTGAAGGATTCTGTGATTATCTGTATCAAATCCCAGTGAGGGTTTACACAGCTGCTTTAATCTGAACTATTGTCTGTACATAGCCCACAGTACTAATTTCTAACTTTAAAGAAATGATTTAATTTTTTTCCTATTTTAGGTAGATGTGAGCAAACTGCAAAAGATCTGTAATAATCTTTGTTTTCAAACTGGGACAAAATAGTTTAGAAGTTTAAAAAGTGGCTGTACAGTTTTAAGGTTATTTTTTTTATGTTGAATGCTGTAGGAGCTGAGTGTGGGCAGGGCAGTCGGGGGCCAGGGCGCTCAGGGTAGCAGAGGTAGAGGGCTGCATGTGTTCCCCAGGAGGGAGGTTGGGCAGCTGGGGTTGCTGCAGTTGCTCCAGGAGCATTTGGAAGCTGATGAGAGTAAGACAGAGTAGCTCAAAGTGGTGCAAAAGAAGAGATGGAGGAAATTAGTTTTGGGTAACAGTCAAACGTGAGAGTGTAAATTTCCCGTGTTGCCAGAGGTCAGAAGCTGGAGGCAGGCAGGAGATGGGTAGGCTGAAATAATGGAAGACAGTGGTTTTCTACCACTTTTTTTTCCCCTAAAGGCAAATATTGCCAATTTGAACATCAAGACAGAAAGTCTACTTATCTTGGAACACCAAGTATCTGCAGAATGGTTTTTAAGCTGGTATGGGGAAAGCTTTTTCCCCGTATTTTTATGAATAGAAGTTTTCTATTCATGTAAAGAATTTGTCACCCCTGAAGTACAATTCCATTTGAGAAAGGGATGGTTAAGGGGTAGTGATGTTTTTTCCCTGATTTAGTTGCTTACTGGGCACAGGGGATCTGCATGAGGTGTTGTAAGGAGGCAGGGTTTATTCCCTATTTGCATTCTACGTGTTTTGGCTCGAAGAGATACTTGTAGTAGTGTGTGATCTTGAAATGTGTGGTTGGAAGAGGTTCAAAGTGAGTAAACAAACTGGTTTTTTGGTCACAGCTTCCAGGTGGCTCGTCTTACCACCTGATCCACCATAAATCAATCTTCTGTAGTTGGGAACATTAACCTCTGGTTTTATTGGGGTGTTTAATGGTTAGAGAAACCTTAAGTGTGTGGCACATTGCTTCATAACGCGCTCACTGATAAATCCATCCTTTGTCAATAGTTACATAGATTCTAGAGTAAATATGCTGATAGAAATGAACGTGTATGTGTGTTACTGGGAATATCAGGATAAATATTTACAGATTTGATGAGGTAGATACTTAAGATGAGGAAAGGCACACAAGGGTTTACATACTCATTGTCACCTTTGTTTTGGGACACTGATTTACTCCACAATTTGATGTTTGGTTTGTTTTACTAGCCGAAAACTGTTCAGGCTACTGCACATGTGCTCACTGTTTGGAACAGCCTGGCTGTGGCTGGTGCACTGATCCAAGCAACACTGGCAAGGGGAAGTGCATCGAAGGCTCCTATCGAGGTCCGGTAAAGATACCAGCCCCGTCGGCAACAGGGAAACCCAGCGTGGAGCCCGTCCTTAATGTCAGCATGTGCCCTGTGGAGAGCAGCTACAACTGGTCCTTCATACAGTGTCCAGGTAAGGAGCAAGGTTTAATTGTCCAAACAGTTCTGCTGGACCAAGGGTTAAATGCAAGGGGAGAGTAGTTTTTAAGACTGGAGGGATGTCTGTGTTCTCCCTGTTAATGGAGGGAGGCGAAGAGCTTGGAAGAAAAACAAGATTTTTGTTAAAAAGAGCATTTTGCGATGAAGGGATTTCTGCAGGTATCTGTAAGTGAGCTGCAGAGGTTTGCTGCTTGAAGACTTACCTTGTCTTAGAGAAATTTGTCCTTTCCCTGTAAATCTTCACTGACTTTTCAAGTTTTTGTTTATGCATTTTAGGGTTGTTTGAAGGAAAGACAATTCTTTCTTAAGGTTGTTTTAACTGTTAGCAATGTTCAGGGTGGTTCTGAAAAAAGTTTTTGACACCAAGCATAGAATAATGCATAGAATAAAGTTACTTGGGCTGCTGCTAAACCCTTTCTTCCCTATTCCCCTTTGTAAATGTGTCCCACCGGCTGTTTCCAGTCCTGTCTGTCCAACATGCACACAATGTTTTGGGGTTCAGTTTTCCATGTGTTGCTTTAAACTACAGGATCTCAATACACACTTTGAGGCCATGTATCGCTGCAAGAGCCTCTTGGGAAGGTGCATGAAGCGGTTTCACTCGGGCTCTGCACAGCACAGACTGCTGGGGCTGGATGTAGAACTCTGTGCCCGAGCACAGGTACTCACCCCTGTCTGTTCTCTTCAGCCTGCCAGTGTAATGGGCACAGCAAGTGCATAAATGAAAGCATCTGCGAGAAGTGTGAGAACCTGACGACTGGCAAGCACTGTGAAACTTGTATCTCGGGCTACTACGGCGATCCCACTAATGGAGGAACGTGTCAGCGTAAGTGATGCCTTAAATCTTCCTGCACTGAAGTCTCTGATGCTTTTTGCTCTTTACTCATTCCTCTGCTGTCTCAACTGAAACTGTAGCCCGATAGTGCATTTTTCCTTTCCTGCGAGCAAGGCACAGTCCTTGTTTCTTCAAATTAGAGATACAGAAACTGCTTAATGGAATGTTGACTTTCATTGCACAAGATAAAGGTGATTGTTTTTACCCTCCTTTGTAAACTTTAAATGACCACAGTGAAAAAAGGTGTGCGTTGTAGTGTTTGACCTCCTGATTTGAGAAGAAACAGTGTTAATCCCAGTGTCTTGAACAAACTGCTGCTTATCTAAATTCCACCTTCTATTACGTTTGGTTAGTGTGTTGTGTACTTATTGGTACAATGGTCTGCTCCGTCAAAGGCTTGCCTTACTCCACTGAGGAGTTGGCTGAATTTCAGTTGAGGATTAGGTGATCCCTATTAAAACTGCATTTTAAGCTTATAATGTGCTTTGGGGTGCTTTGGCATAAAGAACTTTATTCAGTTGTGTAAGATGCCGGTAACAAACAGATAAGAAGCCTTTCTCAAAGGACCAGTGCAGGTAATGCTGAGAAATGCACAGATGAGACTGGGAGGGTCTGCCCTTGACACTTGCAACATTGCTTTGAAAAAGTGGGACAGAAGTAGGTGTGTTTGGTGTCCGAGGAGTGTCAGTGCTTCCACGAAATGGATGGTTCATAGGCAGCCCAGAATAAGTAAGTGAAGTGGATTAATGAAGGGACACGGAAGACTTGGAGTTGCTACTTCCAAGTGTGGAGACAATCCAGTGGAAAATACTTGGAAATTCATCTGGTAAACACTGGAAGTAGCATTGCTGTTTTGGATGAAGAGCAGGGTCTGTAGCTGGAGCGTGAACATCCTGTTTCCTAAAGCAAGAGCAAGTTGGTGATGGTTCTTCTCTGAAGAACCTCCCAGCAGACAGCTTCAAGGAAGGGGCTGGAAAGATCATGGGCAGGGACAAAGCTGCCTGCCTGTGAGAAGGGTCTGGCAGTAGCTGGAATAGGGAATGGCAAGAGACTGCACAACAGCACAGGCACGATGGGAGAGGTGCATCTCTGACACTTCATTACAGAATATTATCTGCAAACACCACTGATAGTTTTAAACTCATGTAGCGTGAAGATAATTTGAAGTGCAGGAATGAATAAATTGAGGCTGAGATGGCCTCAAAAATACATAATTCTACTCTGAACATTCCCGTTTAATCATTGGATCACAACATGCCTTTTTGATATTTGTTGCTTTTCTACGTGTGTGGAAACTGAGAGTAAGTTACTTTGGACTCTCGCATGAGGATTGTCCAAAACCAGTTTGTTGTTGAGATAAGCAGCGATAGACTAAAGTCATCTAGATGCCTGAAAAAGAAATTAGAAAATGTGTTGAGAGGCTATGGAGCAGCATTCGTTCGTTATCTGATGGAACCAGTAGCTCATGTCAAAAGTGCTTTGCTCTCCAGGGCTTTGAGCCCCGGTTTTTAATCTGCTGTGATTTAACGCTATTTATCATGGAGGCGAAAGAAGGAGGGAAGCAGGTAGCTGGGCAGAAAGGCCGAGGTGGATCAGGAGAGGGAAAGCGGGAGGAAATCATCCTGTCTGTTGCAGCCAAAGTGACTGCTGGCCGTTGGTAAGGTTTGCTCCGTGAAAAGTTTCCAGAGGGGGAATTCTACAGATAAGAATTCTACTGATGGGCAGCAGAGCCGACTCCTGCTTTTTCCCTCCTCTGAGCCACAGTCCTGCCTTCCTTTCCCATTAACAGTGTGCTGATTCCACAGATTTTGTGCCTTTATGTGCAGTGTTGTGTGTCACTCTGTATTTAGAGCCCACGGTCACATCCGTGCTGGAGATGGTGGTTGGTACAACCCCATCCTGATACACAAGCATCCGTGCATTTGCACACTTAGTGCCTAGTGTGAGTCCTGGCGCTTGGATGTACCAGCATTAGCCCGGTGTCTGCAGCAGCGTGGGGACCATAAATATCCTCAAAATGGTAAATAGTCAGTCTTGGAACAAGTGTTAGCGCTTGGTGTTTCCCATTCTGCTGAGCTGTTGCCAGTTTGAGCAACATGGTTGGGATAGCAGTCGCCTTCCAAACAGGTAAGGCTGGGCAGAGGTGAAAGTGGTGGTCATGGAGTTCAGAAGGCACGGAGGAATAAGAAGAGTAGACGGAATAAGATGCCTTTTCCTACTGCTGCATGCCACCAGGTCAGGAAAATGTTGCTGTATCGCTTGTATTGAAAATTGTTTAACAAACTGCAGTTGTTTCTCAGGAAGATTTGTTTGCACATCACTGTAGGCATCGGTGTCTGCAGAGCTGGGTGGGTAGTAACAGAATAGTAGGCGAATCACTCCTCGGTGGTTGCTTTTAGGAAGCATCCAACGTAGAGAAGTGTTAATCGGGAAGGGCAGGAGATGCAGCACATCAAATGTAAAAATAGCTGCCAGGTGCCTTCTCTGCATTCAGAGTTTTTTGGATTTTCTGATTAAAGTTCCACATGAAAATATGCCAGCGGTAGATAAGAACATTATTTTTGAGCGAACGGAAGGCGCTATTATGCCTGGAATCAGATTGCTGCTACGGCAGCGCTTCTGAATGCCTCCATGGAGTGTTTGCTGGTGTCCTGCGACGACGTCTTGCCTGCTCCCCCCTCCCAGGGCTGCACGGGGGCCTTGGGGGATGGCCAGAGCACTTGGCGTGGAAAAGGGCGTTGGGCAGGTGGGGGATGCTGGGACTGGGATGCAGGAGGAGGAGCTGCGATCCCCATGACTGTCTCTGAAGAAACCTCTGACCTGTGGTTTGTGAAGGTGGAAGGAGACTGGCTGCGACATGACGTGGTTCATCGTGAGACTGTAACTACGCTTTGCAGTCAAAAAGCCATTTCCAGCAGCTGTGGCTTTCTGCTCTAGCATCAGACCCTGGAGGGGAATTTCAGACTCTGGCAAATATGAAAAAAGCTGAAAAGCCATGAAAAAACTTCTCTTCTTTGTGCGTGTTCCAGTCCTTCGGTGAATGATCTCCAGTGATGAGGATCACAGGAGAATGGATAAATAAGACTCCTAGAGGTGTTTGAGTGTTCAGTCGTCTGGAAAGCATGTGGCTGAAGAGCAGGGTGAGGAAGCGTTCGTGTAGTGCTCAGCATAGTGTGATCTGCATCTAAACTCCAGGATATTTGAAATTCCTCCTGATTTTTGTGTGGGTTAGTGTTGAATATGGATGGGATTTCACTTGGAGCAAGGTTCGTAAAGCATATGGCAGGCAGTGCTAGGCATTCTGCATAGGATTAAGAATTATTTTTTTTTTAAAGTGCCACTAATGAGAAGTGTGTTTGCTTCACGGAATACAATTAGTTTGTCCAATATTCATTCACTGTACTTGTTTCCACAATAAGCCTTTATGCTTATATCCTATTTTGTTCCGTGTTGCTGCTAGGAGACCACTCATCCACATCTGAGAAGCGCAATTAAGTGTCCCTGATACAGTACAGCTTCCGTTACATGCCAATATAAAGACGACATCAAAAGGATTCATAAAATAAGGTCCAGGGTTGGCAAGGGTGTTCAGGATGGGGACTCAATGTCTAGGAATCTGCTGGTACGTGCAGTGGCACACATCTTCTTAATGAGAAGAAGTGTCTTCCTAACGAGGAGGCACCAGCCTTTGCAGCATACTGTTTTCAGCCAGCTCAGGGATCGCAAAGCAGGGATTTTCTCCTGGTGTACTTTTCCCCTTTGGCATTGTGTGCTCTCCCCTGCACAGCTCCAGTTGAATGCATCTTCCAGTTCAGTTCTAGAGCAACTTCCGAAAAGCACCTACCTTCCCAGGAAAGTCATTGTATCCATTCTCCTAGTTATAGTGACCATGGTACCAAAGATAACTGCTTGTATTGGTTTTGGCAGTGTTGGTTGGTCTGGTTGTGGGGTTTTTTGCATGTACTTTGTCAAATTCTGTATGAGTAGACATCTCAAAGTGTGCCAAAAGGCATTTGGATTTCAATAAGGAGCATTCTTTCGAAGCACATCTCCTGTACATCCCCAGGGCCATACCTCGGCTTGCATCTCCAGCAGGTGCAGAGTTTAGGTGATGGGTTAGTTTGGGCATGCCACAAATCTGATACAGTTCAGGGCCAAGCCTGATCTGCTTCAGCCACGACCCAGTGGCGTTCAGCCCATGAGACCAGGCTAGAGCTGTGCTAAAAGGTACTGGGGCATGTGCCCAGAGCGCTCATGGCACGGGCACCGTATTCTTAGCACCAGCCGTTTTCCCCTGCAGGTGCACCGCCGTTGCTGGGAATGACATTAGTTTCTCAAAGGTCTGTTTAGTTCTAGAAAAAGGCCTAAAAGCACCATGAGCTTTGCTGTATTTGCAGAAAATCTTCTCTCAGGAGTTTGGAGTTTGACTGAAATGGGTTAGCAAGCCCAAACCTCTTCCAAATATTGTCCTTTTTCACTAATTATGGTATCTCTAGTGCTATTTAACAGCAAGACAGGAAGCTAAATATATTTTTGAGGCTAAAAAGCACGGTCTCATCAGGATTTCATACAAAACAGCAGTCCTGAAGCAGGCACTCGCTCTGTTTTGATGCATCATTCCATTTTTGGCTGCCTTCTGCATCACACAGAAACCAGAGTTCCAAGTGGGTTTTTGTATGCACTTTGGTGTGTCTCAGTTTGGCAACTGAAGGACTTAATTGCTGTCGAATCCGTTTCTCTTGTTTCATTCAACATTCCATCTTTATCCCCCTCTGCTCAACAGCTTGCAAGTGCAACGGCCACGCGTCTGTCTGCAACACAAATACAGGGAAATGCTTCTGCACCACCAAGGGAATAAAAGGAGATGAGTGCCAACTGTGAGTTTGTTTCCCTTTGTTATTTGGAATCCCAGGGCTGTGCACATCCTGGCGTGGGACCCCTGCGTTTTTAGTGGCTGTATTTATGATGTCGCTGCTCATTGTTCCTGCTGCCAGCTGGGTGCCTTCACTGATGGGGCAGTCAGCCGTGCTCCCCTGCGGGCAAGACACGAGCAAAATAATTTCCTGAGGATGTCCATTTTTATGAACATTTCCACTGGGCATGTCATGCAAAAGGGGTGGGGTGAAAAAATAATGCCCACCCACCCCGCCCCAACTATACATACCACTTTGCTTTATCTGTCCATAGTTTCTTTTAATTGTTAGATTTTTACTCTTGGTGCTGTCTGCAGTTCTGGGGGAGGTTAAATACATCTGAGATAGGACTTGGACATTCAGGCATGTTAATGGAACAGTTTCAGAGCAACAAACTTGCTGGAGGTTTCTCTGTAACGTCACAGAAATGCTTTTAGTGTAATGTTAGTGGAAATAATTTCCTTCCAAATAATTTCATTGCTGGGTTATTTTGGAAGCGTTGCTCACAGGAGTAAGCTTTTATAGGACTGAATCCTGGAATAGCCGCAAATGTAAATGGAAGCTTTAGTTTTCGACTGTAGTAATGCACTTCCATGCGCTGTGAAGAGCTGATAGATACATTCCAAGTGGGTGCAAAGGTTAATATCCACAATGTTATATTTCCTTTTTGCCGCATGCTAGTTTGACTTGCAGGCATTGTGGGATTTCTTCAGCAGCCCAGTATAGCTCAGACATGCATCTTCTGTTTTTAATTGTGTCCCATTACCAGCACAGGTGGTTGTTTGCTGGATTTGAGTGGCTGGGAATAAAAAGAACTGGGGGACAAAAAATCCATTTAATAAAAAACTTGTTTTCTTTTTAGGTGTGAAGTCGAAAATAGGTATCAGGGAAATCCACTTAAAGGAACGTGTTACTGTGAGTATTCTTGGGATTTTGTTTGGAGATAAAGAATATGTTTGAAGTTTAAAATATCTTATGTAAAACTAGTTTGAGTTGCCTCAGCATCAGTTTAAAATACAGGAGATTAAGGGAAGGAGTGAAAAATAGTGTTAAATAAGTTCAGTTTTTACAAAAGTGTTGTTTGAAGAAAATGAAACTACTCTTCCTGATAAGGTCTGTGTGATGATTGGATCTTTCAGAACAAACTTCTGCATGTATTTCACGTGACTTTGAAGTGAAATCTCGTCTTGTGCAGAATATTCTAAATAGATACCTCATGAATTCAAAACCAAAGCACGTCTTTAGAATTTTTGTAATTGCAAAAACAGAATCACAGAACAGTTTGGGTGGGAAGGGGCCTTAAGGCCCACACAATCCCACCTCTTGCCTTGGGCAGGGACACCTTCCACTAGACCAGGGTCCTCCAAGCCTCATCCAGCCTGGCCTTGGACGCTTCCAGGGATGGGGCATCCATAGATTCTCTGGGCAACCTGTCCCAGTGCCTCCCCACCCTCTCCAGGAAGAACAACTTCCTGATGTCCCATCTCGATCTCCCTTTTCTCCCTCTTTCTGTTTAAACCCATTATCCATAAAATATTCTTATTGTAAATATAAAAGTACTTTTTTTTTTTTTTTTAAATCCTGCTCTGTGTTAGAATGGGTAGGGCTTCAAAATTGCCACATTTCCTCGGAAATTAAATTCCTGTGCAGTTCAAGAAGATACTTTGCCAAGATTCAGATTACTTAATGGAAACTCTCCAGCTTCTATTTGCAAATGTTGGCAATCAGCACACTCGCAGGCATGGGTAGATGTAATCTGAAATTACATAAAGATGCAAGTCTCAAAGAGTGTTTTTGTGCAACACAGAAATGATCAACATATTGCATTTAGCAAATCTGACTTCTGCTTGTGTAGCCAGACGAGGATACGGATGGCTTCTCATGACAGTCTCTTTGCAAGGATGACCCAATTCCCTGCTGCCAGTGGCAGGGGTCATGAAGTGGGAAAACCCCAGAACTTTACAATTGTTACAGAACAATCTCGTGCTCCAGAGAGTCAGCCTCACTTGGTCTTCTTCCTTGAAAATTGCTGTGTCAGTGCTTTATAGGAGTTGTGGGTAGACTCTAGCTCGTGTCTTTCCAACAAGGGGTCTTCTGGAGGCCGTCAGAGGAAAACAACACATGGTGTATGGCTTTGTATGCGTTATTGCTTGGAACATCCCTGCATGGGTTCAGGAAAATGTACAGGTTTTAATAAATGTGTTTTACACCCACCAGCCTCAGTATCTCCTTAGTATCCCCAGAACTGGCCATGCACAGTCGATGAACAGAGGGGTGATACCACAGCCCTAGGCAGATGTGAGCATAGGAGGGCATGTCGTTGGGCCAAGAACTGGTCTTGGCATGCCTGGATCTGATGTGACCCGGAACAGGATGGCAGCTGGGTCTATTAACAAGTGGTTGCTCCATAGAAATCTCCCCTATAGAGCCCATCAGTGTACAGAAACGTGTGCATGGAACTTGGTCCCTTCCCGGGTGGAGATTATACAGTCTATTCTGTTTTGGTAGTATTCCCTTAGCTCGTGGCGGCATTGTAGTATGGGAAAAGTAAATGTCTTGGCATGTTTTTTACAGCGTGCAGGTATGAATGGTCGTTTAGATTAAGGCTGAAGGCTGTTGACTGGAAAACATAAGCAGAATCTTTCCCCTCTAGGCTCGAGTTAAACAGGGATGGGTTTGTCCTTGCTGTGTAGGATCATACATAGTTTGGAGTCATTAGTGAAGCGTGGTGACTCCAAATTGTGCTCTCCATGAAGAAAAGCAGTTCAGTGACGTCATTGTTTTGCAGAAGCTTTTCTTATTCCAAGACATGGGATAACTTTCTCCATGGCTTCTTACAGATACTCTTCTCATTGACTATCAGTTCACCTTCAGCCTTTCTCAGGAGGATGATCGCTATTACACAGCAATCAACTTTGTAGCAACACCCGAAGAGGTATGTTTTCTACTTTCCCTTTCAAGTTTATCCTTTGGGTGTATGGGTGTCCTCTCCTGGCTGTGGAGACAATGAATTCATAGAATCACAGGATCACAGACTGGTTTGGGTGTGAAGGGACTTTTAAAGCCCATCCAGTCCCACCCTCTGCCATGGGCAGGGACACCTTCCACTTGAATTGTTACAGCTGTGGGTCTCCAGATGTCGTCTCTCAACCTGGTATCTGTGTCCAGTTCCACAGAGCAGGCGGAGCTTTTGGAGCTTGCCTTGGCCATGTGGTTTTAACTCTTCGTGGTGACATTTCAGAAGGAACCACAGTTGATTCTTTAGTTTGAGCAGCTGCTGGGCAACTCTAGTTTTGCTTGCTGTTCACCCCAAACCTTGTGTCTCTAGACTTCCTGGTTCATCCTGCGCACATGACTTGTGTTGTTCTTTATTAAGCTTTCTTGGGGGAGGAGAATACTGGGTTTAGAAAATGCAGATGGTTTCTTGCTTGATGTATTTGCTTCATGTAAATAAGAAATTCCAAGACTTTTTTTCAGTGAAGATCCACTGGGAAACAGTACAGTAAAGTTATTCTAAAAATGGATTTTCTTCTTTTTTCCTCCCAGCAAAACAGAGACCTGGACATGTTTATCAATGCATCTAAAAACTTCAACCTCAACATTACGTGGTCCACAAGTTTTGCAGGTAAAACGAGCGTAGTCTAAGTTCCTTGGCAGCTTGTTTCAGTTACCAGTTTTTGACAAATGTCAGATTTAACAGGGGACGCTTTTTTAACCTATGGACTTGTTCTGTAACTGTCTTAAATATAGGGCCTGGTGTCAGAAATAAATTATTAGAAAGAGCTGTGTTTATCCAACGTAATAATGTCTTCTGGAAGCACGGAAGTTGCAAATTTAGCTTTGAGTAATGTGGTATTTTGGTAATGCAGCACAACGTGAAACAGTAGTGTTCAGGTGAACAGTTCATGTAACACGGGAGAGTTCAGAATGCTTCACCCTTTTTGTTTGCCACTTAAAATGTGCACTGAACCATCTTTTCTTGCTGCTTTCTCACATCTGAAAACAGCTGGCACGCAGGCTGGGGAGGAGATTCCAGTTGTTTCAAGAACGAATATAAAGGAATACAAGGACAGTTTCTCCAATGAGAAATTTGATTTCCGCAACAATCCAAACATCACTTTCTTCGTTTACGTCAGCAATTTCACCTGGCCGATAAAAATACAGGTAGGGTCTCTTAAAGTGTGTATAATTATTTGAAAGCAGGTTTTTCTTTCTCTCATGCCATGTGGTGACTCGGTGTGCTTGATTTGGTCTGAGCAGAACCAGCGCTCAGTGGAATCTTGCTGCAGGTAAAGGGTTTTGATGTTCCTGATTAGGAGCAAGAGGGTGCGTTATCTCATGTTGCTTTAACCAAGCAGATCTGAAAAAATGCATGGGGAAATAAAGCGAGATGCTTGCTTATTAACAGGGCTGGGCTTTAATGAGGTCTCTGACTTTGAACGTGTAGATATTGATGGAGAAAACAGATTCATACAGCCAAAAATCAAACCTGGAATGTGAAAACAGAGGAAATGTTCGTCGTGTTTCTCTTCGATGTCTTGTTCTCAGGAGGCGCAGCGTGAGGGCTACCCCCCCTTTCTCCTCGTGCTGCCCAAGGCTGTGGTACCTGCAGGACATGATGAAGCTCGCTCTTCCCCTTAATGCAGTGTGGTCGGTTAACACACGCATTGCCTCAGGTGTCAGACTGCCCGGGATGCCAAGGCTTGTGTTGAAGCAGCAGTGGCTGAAGCTCTGTGATGCACTCACAGATCACCGGCTGCAGCCACAGGGACTCTGCAGCTGCTGTGGCAGCTAATCATTCAGAGAAACCTTGGCCACCTTCTTGCTTGGGGCTAAGTCAGGTGTCAACCTGCAGTGTTCTCGGAGTGAGATGGGCGTCCTTGGAAGGATAAAAGTACTTCCAAGCCTGAAACAGAGATCCCACATGAGGCTCTGTGTGTTTGTATTCTGCCTTTTTTTTTTTTTTTTAAGAAGCTTTACCAAATGTGGGAACCCGAATTCTTTCAACCCTTATTCAACAAATTAGTATGTGAAAGCTAACAACTTGACGTTGTTTTACTTGCTCTTTCAAGCGTATCAGTTTCACAGACTCACCATAGGGGTCACTTCCAACAAAGATAATATTGAGCAAGGAAATGAGGTCCAACTGGAAAAAAGGGTCCTTAAGCTATAGTGATGTTTTTCAAGTCATTTCCTGAACTTTAACAATACTATTAGGAATACTTGGGAAATGTCTGTGTCACCATCAAGTCGGTGGGTTTTAAGCACTTAGGAAGCTTTGCCTTGTTGACTGCAGACTGTAGATTTGACAGATTTTGATTCTTACAATCACAATATTGGTAATCATTTTCCAGTTGGAGAGTTTTTACTTTGCAGCTCTGTAAAGTCTTAGTTCATTGTCAAGCCCTAATTGTTAGATGTCGAGGAGTTTGCAAGAGCTGTGGAGTAAGACCTGTGTCACTGGATACTCAAGCAGCACGTGCTAAGCCTCCTTGTGTTCTTTTTTTTTGGAAAGTCGTGTCCTCTGTACAAAGGTGGGCACTTGCGTAATGATACAGTTATATCTCCAGGCTCCTTTTAACAAATTGGCACTCACAGGAATCAGAAAAAGTGCTTATTGTATTTTTAACTGATGGGTGGTGTGTTCACCTTCCATAATCAGTGCTGGCCCGTACCTATCCTGCGTTATCTGCTTTGCTATTTCTTGATGCAGAGCTGTGTGTTAGGACTTTGTAGGTGTTTAAGAGCAGTGTTGTTTGCTGTCCCTTCAGCTGTCCTTTGTTTGCTCCTACGTGTACTCACAGTGAACTTCTGCTCACTTTTCCTATGCTGGTGTTGTCGTTGAGCTTAAATGTCCCCTCCGTCTTCTGGTTGGATGGGTGGGTCTTCTGCTTTCCTTGGATGAATTGGGACAGGTCATATCCTCTCGCTGCCTTTAGCATGTGCTTGTTGGCTTAAGGAATACCAACAGTTGTCGCCTTGTCCTGTGAAACAGGTTATTCAGGTTCAGTGGCTTCATTTGCTCCCTTTTTTTAATCTTTGAGCGTATCAGCCATGCGTAAGGCCGTGGGGGTCAGGTCTCACCGTTGCTTTGAACGGGTGGTTCTTCTAGCTTCTTCATGGAGCTTTCTAGGCCCTTTCATGGCAGCATTTTGCTTTGCTCGTTCTCCTGGCTGCAGCAATTAATAGTCTTTACTCACTTGAACTAATACACCCTGCTGTTGCTTTCCAACGGATGAGCTCCCGATGTTGACAGCAAACATTCTTCCCAGTCCCTAATAGCATCGTGACGTGTTACCCTGCTGCTGTTACTGGGCAGTATTGCCAGTCCTGAAGATCATGTAGGTGTTCGTCTGGGTTGTTCTTTTCTGTATGTTTATTAATGAACTCCTTCAACATTTTCAGCAGGTTGTGCAATTAGGATTCTTCCTTTCTGGGTTTGTTGCTGAGATATCAGTCGAAGTCTGTCCAAATGCCATTCCGGAACCAACTTCTCTTTGCCCTAACTGCTGTGATTCTTGACAGAGTCTTCACCATCTTTATCTCGCCCGGGAGTTTCCAGTGAATCGAAAGCCATGATGAAATTTGGGCTAGCTCAGCTGTACTTCCTAGGTCTGTACAAGTAATTATTTTTACAGACAGGAAATGCTGAGCTGGCAGAGCACAGGTTATTGTTGTCAGCTGTCTTGCTTGTTGAATACAGGTTTTCATTTAGTACTTCAGTTCTTTTACTCAAAACTTGTCCTGAAACTCTGTGTGCTGTCCCTATCCCGGTCTTGGGAGTGTGAATATCTAGATTCTCCCTCCTCCTTCAAATACAAGCTGTAAATTTTCCATAGTGCCACGCTGGCTGACAGATGGCTTTAGCAGCCTTGCTGCCAGAGGTGCTGTTCCATGTGCCATTTCCTTAGGCGTGCTGGGATGTGTGCTGTCTGCTTCTACTGGCTTTGAACACTCAGAAACAGTTGAGTTTTGTTTCCCCTTTGGTTGTGTATCTTCCTACAACCTCGTTCCATTAGACCCTTTGCCTTGGTTCGGTGTCCTTGTGCTTAATGACAACTCTCATTTAGTTTTAGGGGTGCAGCTGACTGCTGTTAATCTCTTGCCTATCCTTGCAGCATAGTCTTCCCTTTCCCTCTCTGGTCTCCTTTACTTGTGTGGCTGGAACATCTCCTGCTATTTGTTTATCACTTGCTGAGGTCTAGCACAGCTTGACATTTGGCAATTCTTATTTTCTGTCTCTGCTACTTGCTGGCTTCTTGCTAATGAATACTTTCCTCTCCATAATACATAGACTCTTTAATTGTTCCTAATGTCCTTTCTGAGTTTAGTTCTGAGGGTGAAGCTTTCAAAGAGTTTTGCATCTTTGACCTGAGAGAAATTCTTAGATGGCTGTTCTCCCATTCCTTATCTCCTTAGTCCACTTGATTTTTGCTGTCTTGTTTAATTTGTCATAGTTAAAAGGAGTGAACTTTGATTCTCTTACAATACTTACCTCGTTTCATCCTTAATTTAATATGAATTTGCTTATGTGCACTCAGTCTGAGATAATTCTATAGCACTCTTAACGTCTTCAAAATGTCCTTGTTACTTGCCAAAACAAAGTCTAAAATAGCATCAGCTCTTACTGGTTGAGACACCCGCTTTGTGAAGAAGTCTGGTAGCGATATCACATCCAGGAGTATGTGGTCCTTCCGATTTCAATTAACATGCTCTTCGGTTCATAACTGAGAATCATTTTTCTTAACTTGGTGTTTTTCTGTCATCTTTCTGCAAATTACTTACTGGCATTGAGTGTCTCTGTCCTGTCTCATGTTTGCAATCGCAATTCTTCATTACTTTGCTGTGGCTTTGTTGTCCTTCTCTAGGAAGCCCACCTGTACCTCTTTTCACTGGAGACTTCATCATAGCTCAACATGACATTCCTCCTTCCTTTCCCGCAGCAACCCAGCATTCCTAAATCTGATGAGCAGCGTGGTCTTCTTCACAGAATCATGCAGTGGTGGAGGTTGGAAGGCATCTCTGAAAGTCATCTGATACAACCTCCTGCTCAGGCAGGGCCACCTAGAACAAGTAGCCCAGGACTGTGTCCAGGTGGCTTTGGAATATCTCCAAGGATGGAGACTGCACAGCCTCTCTGGGTAACCCATGCCAGTGCTCGGTCACCCTTGCAATCAAAAAGTGTTTCCTGATGTTCAGACAGACCCTCCTGCGTCTCAGTTAGTGCCTGTTGCCCCTTGGCCCATCGCTGGGCACCACTGGAAAGAGCCCGGCTCTGTCCTCTTCACACCCTTCTTGCAAGTATTTATAGACATTGATGAGAGCCCCTTCAGCCTTCTCCAGGCT